AAGTTGTTTACCGAGTTTTTAGCTCTTATCTCTAACAAAAAAATTAATTTTTTAAAAAAAAGACCGAATACGTTTCACAGCGAGAAAAAAAATAAAACTGTACACTGATTTTCATTTTCATTTCCAGTCACTTTACTTATTTATTTTTTTTTTTTCATTTAATTATTAAATTATTTCATAATACGTTTATTTTACGTTTACGTTACCATTTTCTTTATTCTTTTGAATTCCATACTAGACACTTATAGAATATTTTGATTGTTAACGTACTTCATTAGAATGAATCCTTACAAAGGGTATGTCGATCGAATTTACCTAATTGGTATTTCCAATCAGATTGAAGAAGGTAAAATGACATGGGAAGAAGCTTGCACCCATGTTCCCATCGCCCCAACCCTTCAATCAAATGATTTCAAATATTTAGATGTTTCAAAATCTTTTTTACAAAATCAATTTAGCTTACAGAATATCCCATTGCCTAAAGGCAAGAAAGGTCGTAGGGTCAATCCCTACGACCAAATCAAAGCTCTTGCTGTGATACATAACCACTGGGCCTTTCCCTGTGGTCAAACAAAACAATGGAAACGTTTGAAATTACAACAAATTGATGTATCTTATAGAGAAGTACGCAGATACTTCAAAGAAAATCATTTCACCAAGACGCGATTAGAGCATGCCGGGCCAGAAACAGCAGTAAGATATTGGGCGCTTTCACCCAATCTTATCTGGCACGCAGATGTTCATTATTTTAGGGGTTTCGTGGCCAGTATATTTATGGCATAATCGACGATTTTAGCCGCAAATTCCTAGCGTGTATACAAATACCAGATATGCTGGCAGCGACGACAGCGAACGTTGCGGCTTCCGCCTTCATTGAATTTGGCGCCCCTTATTGTTTCTGGACCGACAACGGTTCAGAAAATAGGGGCGCCTTTCAAGATCTACTTGATCTTTGGGGCGTCCAATGGCGGCATACAGACTCTCATTCTCCCTACCAAAATGGGAAGATTGAGAGATTCTGGCCGACATTGGAGCGCCGCCAAAGCATTCAGGCTATTCCTGCCTTTATTTGGGAGTACAATAATAACACACCGCATGAAGATCTCCTAATTAATCCATTAACTGGAACAAATTACACGCCAAATTAAATGTATCAGCTGAAACCGAAATACACAAATGCAGATACAGAAAGGTTGTGGCAAATATGGGATACAGATACAGGCATGACCGCTGTTGACACATTCACAGCGTAATAATAAACATAATTTTTTAATTTCATTTTTAACAAGTTTTTTTAATGTATGTAATGAATAATTCATTAGAATATGATAATGCACATTGTAACAGAATAGAACAATCACCAAATTTTTTTTTGAAATTAAAAAATAAAAGTAAAAAGGAGTAGGGGTAATTTTAGCTAAAAGTGACACACCCGTGAAGGGTGTGATTACCGATCGGTAATTTCGACAGTTTAGAATTTAAAATTTTTTATGGAACTGTTGCGAGTTTCATAAAGAATTTAAGGAATATAAGCAAAGATTTGAATCAAAATCTTCGAACTAAGCCGATCGCTTCGCTCGCGGCTTTCTTTATTATTTTAAATTTGCATATTTCCATCAAAAGTTCATAAGGTAAAAAATTTCGTTTATATTATTGCAAAATAAAATCTTCATTATTAAGATAAGTACCTTAATATGTACGTAAATTTTAATGAAATTTATACAACATTATAAAAATTTATGAATAAAAACTTGATATAAAATAACATTTTTATTTTTACTAAGAAAAAAAAAGGTTTTGATAATAAATTTATTTTATTTCGAAAAAGTAGCAATAATCGTAAAAGGGTATTGATAGGCTTGCTAAGTAACTAATTTTAGCTGTCAAATACTTTTGTATTTTGAAGTAAATTAGTATAAATTTGTTTTTACTTTTATTTCGAAAAAGTAGCAATAATCGTAAAAGGGTATTGATAGGCTTGCTAAAGTAACTAATTTTAGCTGTCAAATACTTTTGTATTTTGAAGTAAATTAGTATAAATTTGTTTTTACTTTTATTTCGAAAAAGTAACAATAATTGTAAAAGGGTATTGATAGGCTTGCTAAAGTAACTAATTTTAGCTGTCAAATACTTTTGTATTTTGAAGTAAATTAGTATAAATTTGATATTATTTTAACTCCCTTTGAAAACCTCAATTTTCCATACAGAGGGAATGGGAATAGCATCCAATATTCCCTGAGAATGGTTGCGCATTCTCAGTTCCCTCTATATTTCGAACGAAGCTCTCATCGGTCTTTTTTTAATACTAAACGTTTTTTTTTCTGTCACTTTTAGCTAAAATTTGGGTTTGCCTTATTTTAGATACACAATCGATGTACTGAAGAATAATCCGGTAAAATGATGATATAAAATTAGATTATTTTACAAGTAGCTAAAAGAATAAAACTATAATATAAAATGTAATAAACAGAAATTCATCAAAAGTGACAGCTCTCAATTTTTTGACATTTGTAAATTCTAAATTGAATGAGAAAAATGAAATAATACTAAGCATAATACAATATTCTAGATTTAATTATAATTAGGAAAAAGTTAGTTTTGAGAGTACTTTTCATAGGCATATAGAATGAAATCTTCTAAAATAATATCACATAAACTCATATTATTTTCTAATATATAACTATTTTGTATAAAAATCAAATTCAATGATCTTAAAAGCGAAGGATAAACCTCAAAATTTACGAATATAATGAGTGGGAATATAATGCTTATCTATCATAAAACCATATGAAATATTAATTTTTGCTTTACGCCTAATTTTTGACGACAATTAGCAAAAAATGTTAAATGTTAACACTCAGTCCATTTGAATATGAAAAATAAAATTGACTTTGATTAAATGTTTTTATTTATCATGCAATTCTTCTTGCGACCAAAGATTTGAATAAAAGTTCAAAAAATAAGATAGCTTAAAAAATAATATACGGTAGTGTTTACTAATAATGAATAGTATATAAATTCTATTAAAATGGATTTGATCCAAAAAAAATATAAAACCAAAAATAATTGTTATAATTTAAATGAAGAAGTAATTTAAAACGATTTTATTTATGATCAAATTTTATATATTTTTTTGGATCAAATCCATTTTAATAGAATTTATATACTATTCATCTATTAGTAAACACTACCGTATATTATTTTTTAAGCTATCTTATTTTTTGAACTTTTATTCAAATCTTTGGTCGCAAGAAGAATTGCATGATAAATAAAAACATTTAATCAAAGTCAATTTTATTTTTCATATTCAAATGGACTGAGTGTTAACATTTAACATTTTTTGCTAATTGTCGTCAAAAATTAGGCGTAAAGCAAAAATTGATATTTCATATGGTTTTATGATAGATAAGCATTATATTCCCACTCATTATATTCGTAAATTTTGAGGTTTATCCTTCGCTTTTAAGATCATTGAATTTGATTTTTATACAAAATAGTTATATATTAGAAAATAATATGAGTTTATGTGATATTATTTTTCAGAAGATTTTGTGTTCTTCTTCAGAATTTTATTTTTTTATTAAAAAGAATCTTTACAAAATCTACATTTACTTTAATTAATATTTAAAAACGTGCTCTATCAAAAGTTCCAAAAATTCAATATTTTAGCTTTTCTGAGGTGTCACTTTTGATGAATTTCTGTTTACAACATAAAATAAATGAAGTTTAATGAAACAATCAAGGTTAAATCGATAATAAAGATTTTTATTTTATATCAGTATTGAGAAGAAGTAACAGCTGACACTTGGTAGACAACTTCTTTATGTCTAGAAAATTCTATCTTGCCTTTTATTTTTTTCTCGCTGTGAAACGTATTCGGTCATTTTTTTAAAAATTAATTTTTTGTTAGAGATAAGAGCTAAAACTCGGTAAACAACTTCTTTATGTCTAGAAAATTCTATCTTGCCTTTTATTTTTTTCTCGCTGTGAAACGTATTCGGTCATTTTTTTAAAAATTAATTTTTTGTTAGAGATAAGAGCTAAAACTTTGCAGACAACTTCCCCATGTCTAGCAAATTTAAAATTCGTCTCCCATTTTTATATATTTGGTTTAGAATGTTCGAAAATGCGTAATATGGTCATTAATATTAATTGAAAAGAACCTTGAATTAATTCAATCTGATCTCACAAAATATTTTAAATTACAAACTTTGTAGTTTGAATAGATAATTAGTATTAAACTCAAATAACTAGTTTATTTTTGAATAAAAATTATTTGAATTTATTCAATTTTGTGAATTTTCCTTCAAAAATCAAGTTTAAATATCTTATTTGCCATATAATTATAAATACAATGAAACATATTCGAAATTGAAAAGAATGACTTTTTCTGTTCTTTCAATCATTCAATTTGAATTTTGCAATATTGGATTTCTCATTAAATAGCTATTAAAAACAACAAGCAATTTAACTTACATTCAAATTTATTTGTGTTATATTCAATCTTCTCAAAACTTATAATTTTCGGCTATAGCATGATTATATGCTATATAATATAATAAACCTATAATAGTATCATTCTTTCAATTATTTGAAGAGAAAACCGAAAAAATCTATTTTCGGTCTATAACAATAAATAATAAAAGTGAAATTTGATTAATGAATTGCAAGCAATAAACATGATATATAAAAAGCTTACAAATTAAAAGCTATTTTTTGAAAGTGTTAATTCAATAATGATTAGAAATTGAATACTTTTAATCAGCAATGAAATTTTTGAATATCAATTATGCAGTGGGAAATATTATGTAAAATCTTTATATTAAAATTTATAGAGATAAAAATATAGTGATGTCAAGCCGTTTTACCGTTTAACCCGTAAAATTTAATTCCTTATATTAGCTATAATTGTCGAATATTTAAAAAATTCAATAATCAGCCATCATTGAATTTATTGTGGCTTTTTCAAATTAAAATTAAATTCAATCAAAGTATATTGCATGAATCCATCCAAAGACTATGTTCAAATTATTCTTGCAACAAGGAAACTCAACAAGCATAAAAGAAGCTCGAGTCAGAGCTTACGTGACCACGACCGTATTCTAAAGCGTCTTCAATCGAATTCAATCATGCCTGATTATGTATGCGCATACTTGGAGAAAACTCTTAAAAAGCATGTAACATTGGCATCCTTGCTATCTATTGCCAGACCAATAGTCAATGACCTGAACTTAAAAATGGATCGCCTTGCAAAGCGCAATAGGGATGCTCTTTTGTGCTGGTTTGCCGAAAATTGGGATTATATCTATCCATATATATCTATGAATGATTATAGATATGATAATTGCTTGCAAAATGGAGATTCCGATACGATTCAGGAGAAAGAACTCAGAACTGAAGAGGTAAGTCTATCTCATTCCTTTAATCCATTGGATGTAACCTCATTGCTCAATGTTCATTAATATCATCTTTGCAACATTTTCATATTCTCAAATTTATATTACAGTTGTTAAAGATTTATAAAATTTGTTTGTATATAAACTATAACAGATATATGTTGATAAATAATGCATTTATTAATCTAGATATAGATGACTTTATAAGAATTTTAAGATGAAAGTGTTTATTGAGCGTAATAGTGAGAATATCATGTAAACCTGATGCATATTAGAAAAACAATACATTGTGGACATGATGGTCACAAAAATATGTCAATCCGATAGGATCAAATTCGAAAATGAAAGTTAGATAAAATTGTAATAAATAACATATATGTACTTTATGAATATCATATTTTCATAAAATCTAACCTTCAAAGTAAAAAGGAAAAATAAATTTCTAAAAAAAATATAAATATCTTGAAATTATTGAGAGAATGATTCTTTGATTGAATGATAAGTTTCAAAATGAAAAAAATTAAAAGGGGAGCTTCGTTATTTTAATTTTGTAAAAAATTCGGAAATGAAAATGAATAATTTGAAAACTTGAATAAATGATATTTGTTTGGGAACCTAGAAACCTATTGAAAAAGAATGGCCGCTGATTCGGGATTTTAAATTTGAAACAAATGGGGAAAAATAAAAAGATTGATAAATTCTATTATTTTTGTAACAATGATGCTTGTTTCCCTTTTGTTTGGTAAAAATGAGCATGAATAAAAAATAATAATAAATGAGCTAAAAATGATGAGAATTTTGATGCTTCTCATGTAGCCATGTGAAATATGACGATAACAATCACTGAAGCTTAGAAAATCTCATTAAATATAAAGAGTAAAAATGCACTAACATCACATTCAATCAAAGATTTCGGTTTTAAACAAATTTTAAGAACATTTTAAATTTTCCAAAAGGCATTGAATTAATAAACGCAAATATTCCTAAAGATAATTGATCGTATGGTTATGAAATTAATAAAAAATCAAAAAACATTTACGATTCTTTCAAATTTATGTCATTCTCCAAATTTATTTTCAATAACATTTTGATTTCCAATTTATGAGTGTATATTTTGTATCAATTATTTATTAAATCAATAATTTGTAAACTTCTGAAAATGTAAGTATTCAAATGATTTGTAAGGCTTTCGCAAATTGAGTTATCTGATAATTCTTGTTATAATTCTTATACTACAAAAACTTGAATAAAAACTTTTTTCAAATTTATGTTCTTAATAATTTTTTAAATGCTTATCCTCTCGCTATCTCAATTTTCTAAGCAAACTAAACCTTCTAAAAGTGATTGATATTATATTACGATGATTTCATTTCTTTTTCAAAAAGGAATTGAATTTTTATAATTTGGCAAAGTAATGAAAAAATCTCTAGTGTTAATGGATGAAATTTCGATCCATAATTGTATTCAGATTGAATTTCTCCAACGTAAAATAAATAGTTTGAGCGTAATGTCATTAGAATAAGATGTAATGTGATTACCTTATTCATAATCCATGAGCAGTTAAGTTATACGATGATTTTTTACATATCGAAATTTAATTATCATTTGTTTTTATGTTATCTCATTTATTTTGTGAATATTCATGTAATGAACCACTCAAATTAGAGTGATCTCTCCATATAACTTCCAAATTTAATTTTTCGAAATCAAGAACTCATAATATTCAATAATGGGCAATTTATTATAAATTACATAATATATATAATGTATATAACGAGAATTTGATCCTTTTTATTATTTTAAAATTTTTATCCGAAATTTATCAGAGTTTCTTACGATTCGTTCATATAACATAAAATAATTCTATATATTTATTATAAATAAAACAAAATAAAACATTATATATCTATGTTGATGGATTTAATGAATCCATCTTCAGTTGTTATCAACAATGTACTGAGTATTTCACTATACTCGACACATAAAACATTTGTGAATATTTCACAAGGTACAGTTTTGACTTTGAGACTGGAAACTTCTATAACGGAAACCCAGCCATAATCCAAATGGAAACAAACAACGAAATCTTCCAAATTCTTTGTTTTGAACACTTTCATGTTTGAGCATTTGTTCAGAGACACTGAACCGTATTGTTGGCAATCTATTGTCATAAAAATCAAACGATGTTTTTCATTTGCTGTATCATTTGCATGACAAATAATTGCTCCTAAAGTTGGAGAAACAGAAACATCCAACAAAGGCAAATCAATTGTTGTTGAATGTGCTAAAATTCCATCATTCGATGAATAAACTAATACAGTTCCATCTTCTGTTCCGCAAACAACTGTGTGGAAAACAGAAGAAACACAAATACAACTTGGAAAATCTCTAAACAAATTAATATGACAAACATTTCGCTCCGAAATCCCAAAAACATCAACAACATTATCATTGTCACATAAAGCAATTAAATGGCCATCAGATGAAATATGAGTTATCATAGAAAATCCAGTTTCTATTGTTACGGTTTTTCCACTTTTTGAGTTAATTACGATTAAATCTCCTCCACCTAAACTAACGAAGAATTTATGATTAGAAGAGATTGCGTTATTTATCACGTTCAATCTCGTTTTCGTTTGAGAAAGTGAAGAAATTTTTTCTTCTTCTAATAAACTCAAAACAGAATGAAAAATTATTCCTTCTCGATTTAAAACGTGACATTGCGGTTTGCCATTTAAATCTGTAAATGTTGCTGTTACAGCTTTGGAGTATTTCATGTCAAAATGAAATTGGAAGCCGGCTTGACGATATTCATTTGATTTCTTGGAATTTCATATCCCAAAAACGTGACAAGCCATAATTTCACATTATCATTATTTGATTCAAGTAAAGAACGATTTCTAGCTATTTCCATGATATCTCCTTTCGTATAACAATCGGAAGAACCAGATTCTATGAAACTAGGAGGTTGTGGGAATATAGGTTGTGAGTCTATTTCTAAAGAAGATCTTCCAATTGTCATGGTCAAATAAGAAATGAAATAAAGTGTCGAAATTTCACCTTTTTCCCAAAATTCTGTCAATGGTTTCGATTCTGGATTTGAAAACATTATTTTCTTTGTGTTTTTGTTATTTAATGTTTTCAGTTTCGTAAATAACCAATTAACATTTCCTTTGACACTTAAAATAAATAATAAACCGTCAACGGTTAAAATATACAATTTTGAAATTAAATTATTTGTTGAAATGACGTGAACAACTTCTTTCAAAGGAACTAAATGGTCATCAATAATCAAACATGATGCAGACACTTTGATTTTTGTCATTTTATTCGTCAAAACCATTTCACAAGGCATTTCTAAAATAAAATCTTCTTGTAAATCAAATTGCAAATCTTCAAAAATTTTCTTGTTGACTCTTTTCGTTTTTGCTGCGAATAAACCATAACAAAGTGTTTTATCAACTTCATATTCTCCTAAATTAGAAGGAGGAGGTGACCACGGACCTCTCTCGGAATTCAATGTTTCCCATAATTTAATCCATAGTTTATGTCCTGTTTCTTCTATTGAATTTTGGCGGTTTATTATGGTCACTTCATGTCCTAAGTAAATTTTCTCAGATTTTTCAATTATTTCGGCTAAACTATTCATAAAATCATAAAAATAATCTCTGTTATTAATAGAAATATCGAAAAACGTGACAAATTGACCAAAAATTTTGTTATAACTTTCACAATTAATTCTTGTTGGTTGGAATTTTGGTCCTAGATTAATTTGCGAGAAAATGGAATGATAACTAATTAAATCTATTTCATCTTTGTAATTTAACAGTTCTTTTTCAGTCAAATCTATTTTTTCCAAGTGAATTTTAACAATTCTTGGTTCATTTCTCAAAAGAAAAGCAGACAAAATCAAATCTATTCCCAAAACTCTGCGGCAATTATATTTCTCGAAAACAGACAAACAACAAATAGCTAGTTCTAAGTGTTTCCACTTATCATTTTCTCCAAAAACTAAACCAAATTTTGTTAATTCACTTTGTTTTGGTTTCAAAAATTTTGGAATTGAAAATTCTTCAAATTTTTTTTTTCTTCGAATTTATTTTTCGGAGAAGAGAAGAAAATTTCTTTTGATGCAGTTATGATGAATTTTTCGGCTTCTTCATTTTCCATTTCGAAATTAGTAAAGTAATAAACGAAAAGAGTTTGTTTGATATTAAAACAAAACTCTGTAAAACTTCCAAACATCGAATTTAAACAACTTACTGCTAATTCAAATCTTTTTCGATTCTTTTTGATGAAATAATCACAAATTAATGTTTTGTCATTCAGCTCATCGAATAAAATGAAAGGCCAAATTGTTGGGAAAACTTCTTCAGCAATTGGCAAAATTTTCAAAATATTGACAATTTTTTCTGTCAAATTTAATTTGACGGACAATAAAACCGCCAAAGGTAAAATTGCTGCATCATATTGTAATATTGACATAACATTTTCAAAGAAATTCAAATCCATTTTCTCAAGAAAATTCTGGTAAAAAGATATCTGCAGTTTGTACAAATAATTATTCGACAACAATTTCGCGTTTTTGCATGTCATTGTTATTGTAAAAGCAAATTGAATAAGTTTGTTTGAATTTTTTGACAACAAAATAATAGCAAACAAATAAAAAAGAGGAGATTCCAAATTAAAATGTAAAGAAGAAGGGGAATCAACAATTACTTGTAAAATTACTTCACAAACTTTTTCGATTTGTTTTTCATCTTTCGTTTTCTTGCAGAATTCAACTAAAGAATAAAAATCAGTTTCATTAAAATCATCTGATAAAAAAGTGACAAAATTTGTAATAAATTTTGACGACATTTTTTGATTTGTAATTTTGGATTTCTGATGATTTTTTCATCAATTTTTTCTTTTTCGTAATAATAATAAATCTTCAAATAATCCAAAATATCAGAAACAGATCTCATATTTCTTGCCAAATTTAAATTATTTGGGAAAATACTTTGAGACCATAATTGTAAAATTCTTAAATGTAAATTTGGATTCAACAAAAACAAAAATCTAACATTACATAATACGCAATCAAACAATTATTGTTGTAGCATGTCAACTTTGAAACTTGTCAAAGAAACAATTAATTGATTATAAGTTTTCAAACTAAATTTTTCTATCCAATATTTCATAATTAAATAAATAAAAATATGAAATCCATGTGCATGATAAAACAATATCTGGCTGTCTGTTGAATACATAACAATATTAATTAATAAACACAAAGCGCTGTCAAATTGTAAATCAAACTTTTCTCCATTAGAATATCTTAAATCATTCATAGAAAACAAAGGTAATAAACAAGCAACACCACATCTTTCTATTATTATATCTACAAATCCATTCCTTATTTTGTTGGATGGATCATGAAAATCATTAAAAAACAAATAAGGTGAAAAAGGAAGATTTTGTTGGTTTTCAAATCCAATTTCATATATTTTCATAACTTCTTTGTAATATAACAATCTAAATAATCCTGTATTCGTAACTCTGCTTGGTACAGGAACATTCTCAGATAGTTTTCCACCAAATTCCATAACAGCATTTTCCCAATGTGAAGTGAAGTCTAAAAGTGTCACTCTCATTTGGTCGGATTCATTAGAATTAACAGCATAAGTTATCATACCTGTATTTTCATCCTTTGAGTAAGAAATTGCGACAAAATGCCAATGATTCAGTTGTAAATTCACTGAAATTTTTCCTTGGCTTTCAAAATCTCCGTTTGTTTGATGAAAATAAATTTTTGTTCCTTGTAAAAAAATTCCTATTGCGTCATTTCCATCTGAAATCTCCCAAATGTTAACTTTATAACTATTCTCATTCTGCGCTATCCATACCCATGCAGTAACAGTAAATCCATCTTTCGTTAAATCTTTGCCATCAAGTTTATTTTTGACAGAAAAACCGTTTAATGTCAAACAACTTTTTGGTTCATTCAAAGAAGTCGAAGCAATGTAATTCAAACAATCAAAATACTTCAGTTGGTAATTAGAAATTGTGTTGTTTGTTGTCGGTGTCAAAAGTGAGATGAACTTTATGGCCGATACAGCATTTGAATACATAACCGCAGTCATTCCATAAATATTAAGAAAAATTCCGATTGTTTCTTCATCCAAAGTCGGCGATTTCTTTTCTTCTTCCAATATATCTGTCAAAAATTTTGACAAATCTATAGAAGCGAATTTTTGGATATTTACAGGGGAGAATTTACACAAATTCAAAGCGAAATCGGCAACATCTTTAATTTTCTTTGTATTGTAAAACATCAAAATCATTACTTTCAAAGCTATTGGTTGTTTCACAATAAATGTTGGGAATATCGCTGATACGATGTCTCCTGCTAATAATTGTATCATTCTCACAAATAAAACATCATCGTTTTTGTCAGAAAAAATTGTAGATCTTTCTGTTAACGGAACATTAAATGTATAAAAAGGTGACATTATTGCCAAAAACGTTGCACACGTTTCAAAAAGGGTTGTAAGGATATCGGGGCGTAGCATTACCTGTATAATTGATGGACAGATCGGGGAGAATATGATACACATGTTTCTTCGAATTGCCAAGTTGTCATTTAACATATTCAGTAAATTCAACAACAATTCAGCATGTTTCGGAGAAGGAAGGCTCGAAATAGTCAACGCTATTACACTCTGAAGCGGAGAAATGAACTCAGCTGATCTAGTTATCTGGATATAAGATGAAATAATTTCGATTGCGTAATTTTGCAAATTCTCTTCGAACAAAAACGACAACATACACTGTAGAAAAAAGCTGTCGCTAAAGAAAATCTCAAAAATCCTTTGGTCGTTCATGAGATGTTTAATGAAGATGAAATAAGCTGTTCTGGCTATTTCAATCTCATCAACATTGGATTCGTTGTTCGTTACATGTAGTTTCTGGTAGAAACTCCCAATTTGGGAAAATAATTTTGGTAAAATTGAGTCTTTTTTAATGTGTTTTCCTATGGAAACTACTTTGTTTGATAGCCTATTCAACACTTCTGCCATTTGCAATGGACAATTCGCAACAATTAATAATAAATTATATAATCAGTACTAATTATTTAAATTCACTGTAACAAATACGAACTCTTTGAAAATTAAATTGAGAAATCAAGCCGCATCATCTTTTGAATATAAAGTTTTTCATATTTCAATTGATATTAAACAATTGATGAATGCTTTCGTTAATAATGGTCTTTAATTACAATTTTTTGATTATATAAATTCATAAATCATGAATATTAATATAAGCAGATCCCATAACGCCTTCGTCTAAAGGAAAATTGATGATATAAATCAAAAGCAGATCTCATAGGCTTTTTATCTATAATAGGAAACTCTGCTTCACACAGATATGATGAAAAGTGAGAAAGATGATGAATAGAAGATGTATTTTGAACATTATTTGTTGTAACTGATCCTTTTGTTTTATCTGTTCTGTCACAGAAAGAATCTTTAACTGTAATTAAACCAGAATATTGATGATAAAATTCTTCTCCTGGTCCTATGTTTCCAAGAAATGAACAGTTTTCAATAAGAACAGTTGATTTACCTGCATAGAATGTAGTTCCATAATCAGATTTTTTGTGTTCATTATTCAAAACATTACAAAAATTAAAATTATAGTTACCATAATATAATTCTAAAATTCTATAATTTGATGTTGTGTTACAAAATGATGAATATGTTACGTTACTTAGACTTGTTGGTTCAAATAGACGTATTCCTGCTCCATAGTTTGCTTCACAGAAACTTGTGTTAATTGATTTAACTTCAATATTTCCATATTTAAGATAATTTGTACAATATTTTTCTAAATTTCCGCATAAATAAAAAGAACTTTCATAAAGATAATTTTTATTATTTGATTTATTAACTAATTCAACATATGAATGATGTCCCCAATCAGAGTTTGTTTTTGATTTGTAGCCACATGTTCGGTATTGGACAATGGAACTATCACATTTAAAGTAGAGAGATCCACCATATGAATTACTACTGCAGTTAGTAAATGAACAATATGAGTTAAGAAACTTATTTCTTGTATTCGTAAAATAAATGGCACTTTTAGTTGTAATATCAATGAATATACAGTTATATAAGAAACACTCATTATTTGTTGATGTTGCTTGAACATTTTTACCTTGAATTGGTTTTGAATTAAGTGATGTATTGTAAAAGAGTTCCCAAACATTATTAGGTGATTGATCAAAGTGTAAATTATTCATAGTTGATGTGTGTTTTGATACTGTTATCTGAAAATCGTGATTGAATTTCATTGTTTTCATCAAAAAAATGAATCGGCATTATTTGACATTTCAATGATGTAAATGTCAAATAATGCCGATTTATTTGAATCTGATATTCAAGTTATGAAATTGCGATTCTTTTAGCTGTCATCAGCATTTTAACAGCTAGTGCATGGAAACAATGATGTAAATCATTCTAATCTTATATAAAAACATCGATTTTGCTGATTAAATTTTTGGATTTCGTAATAAAATGATCAATATTGTAAATAATTAAAGCTATTGTACTTACACATGATTTGTATATTATAAAATGTATGAAATATCGACTTAATTCGCTTGAAAATTTGAAATAGGGAGAATCTTTATATAAAACGCCTAATATCTAACAATTATTACATTAAATGAATACTTAAATTTGAGTAATCGATGATTTATATGAATTCTCTGGTCTGAATAAAGAATATCGAAAATTAGTTTGATTTTGGGGTTGTTTTGATAGTATTGTCAAATGTAATGATGTAAAAACATGAATTTATTAGTAAATACATGCTCGTGTTTGAGTAAAAATAGATATTTGTTGTTGTGAAATAAGTATTTGATTTCTTGTAAATCTTGAATGAAAACAATAAGTTCGTATCAATGGGAAAATCGAATATGTAGCTATTTAATTTGTATCAAAAGAATTTTTTAATGAGAATTTAAATTTCGAAGAAATTTGTTATGTATCGTTGAGTTTTGTAATTAAAACTGATATGTTAATGATGTGATTTGCTTTTTTAAAACATTTATTAGTCTTGATGAAATAATTTTTCTTTTAGTTAAACATTTCTTCTGAGTTTGCTAATAAAGACGGAGTCCTTTGTGAATGTGACATAGGCGCCCGAGAACCGTATGCACAAAAACTCTTATTGGGTGTCTTGTCTTTAGATATTCTTTCAAAAATATGCCAAATTTGATTGATGATTTCTAAAAAAGTAATCTAATCATCTGATGCCATTAATTGTATTTAGAAAAAAAATTCGTTCTTTTAATTTTTTAAGAGTATCACAGCAGATGATTAACTTTCCTTGATTTACGATACAACTAATTCACCAAATGCAGAAGTGCAATCGAATACAAACAATCGAATCTCCTAATTGATGAATCAAATAGTCCATTTTTCATTGAATTATTTAATCAAATCGTCTCTAATCATAGCAATCCTCCAAAATCAATCAGTAGTACACATGTTATCTTTGATCAATTCTTACGTTATAAAGAGAAGAGCACATTTATATGATCTCAAGTATATTTTTGATTTTTTTTTACAAATCTTGTCAATAAGACATTTGAAGTTGTTACCGATACAGTTACATAATTTTGAGATACAAATTCACCGCGCAATATTATTTTATTAAACTAAAACAGAGATAATTTTCTAAAAATTTAAATCATACATTGATCAGTACCTTGTAGAAGATACACATATTGATTTCAAATTCGTATGCATTGAAATGTTCGACGACATTTACACTGTTCGTTTTGAACCTATAATTATTCCATTTATAGTTGAAATGACAAAAATTTACCACATCAAGATAAGCGATGATACAATCGAATTGATCTCACATTTCAGCATGATACAAATATCAATAATATGTAAACTAAGAAAACATTATTGATATACTTAAGGGTGCACCCGTATGTACGTTTATTTGAGAGGAGGAGGATTACCCTCTCAATTTTGAGGGATTCGTTAGTTTATTTTCTCGATGAATATGCAATAAAATTTGATTTTTACCTTATCAATATACTTCATATAATATACACATGTTCATGTAAAAACTTTTTTCCAAAATCCTCAGGAATTAAGGGATTTTTGAATTTTAAGAATTTTTTTTCGAATTTTTTCGAAAAAAAAATATTTTCAGAACAGCCTTAACGGCTAAGATTTAGGAACAATGTTATAGGGTTGTACAAACTGGCACAATTTTGCGGGCCGCCTGCCAGGAGCTGGCACGCGGCCAAAATCAAAAAAGTGGCCAAAAATCGGGCCTCGTGGCGTGGAAAGGGTGGAGCCCGAAGGGCGACATCCTTTCCACGCCACTCGGCCTATGACCACAATTATATAATATGCTCATTATTATTTTTTCTTCTTTTCTCTTTTCTTTCTTCTTTTTCCCTTTTCCCTTCCTTTTTTTCTAGTTTTGGAAAGGAAAAAGTAAAAAATTTAATAATTAATTTTATTACTATGAAAATATACTTTTTAGCTTATATTGTAAGCTGTGAGAGTTTTAAGTGATGGAAGATATAAATCAAATTTGAAATTCAACAAATCTTGTTATGATTAAGTTGAATATTGTACTCTAATTAAGAGTTTTCAGTTATGAACTCAGGTATTATATAATAAAAGTATAACTCAAGATAATAAAGAGGTTTTTAAAATGTAGATCTGAAAATCAAACTACCATGTTTGATATGATTAAGTTGAATAATGTTATTTTATTAAATGGTTCAAATCTGTGAAATCGGCAATTACAAATTAAAGGCGTAGTTCAAAAAATTAAAGAGATTTTAAAAATTTAATATCAGAATTAAACTAAAAAAAGGATTTAGTTATTTCAGTAATTATCAGAAAAGGTTAAAAAGATAGGGTAAGTAATGAGACTTGAGTGAGATGTGAGAAATCATATGTAAATAATTAGGTATCTGATGAGTAAGGTAGTAATGAGAGTTAAGATCTGGTTAGTAAGGTAGTAATGAGAGTTAAGATCTGGTTAGTAAGGTAGTAATGAGAGTTAAGATCTGGTTAGTAAGGTAGTAATGAGAGTTAAGATCTGGTTAGTAAGGTAGTAATGAGAGTTAAGATCTGGTTAGTAAGGTAGTAATGAGAGTTAAGATCTGGTTAGTAAGGTAGTAATGAGAGTTAAGATCTGGTTAGTAAGGTAGTAATGAGAGTTAAGATCTGGTTAGTAAGGTAGTAATGAGAGTTAAGATCTGGTTAGTAAGGTAGTAATGAGAGTTAAGATCTGGTTAGTAAGGTAGTAATGAGAGTTAAGATCTGGTTAGTAAGGTAGTAATGAGAGTTAAGATCTGGTTAGTAAGGTAGTAATGAGAGTTAAGATCTGGTTAGTAAGGTAGTAATGAGAGTTAAGATCTGGTTAGTAAGGTAGTAATGAGAGTTAAGATCTGGTTAGTAAGGTAGTAATGAGAGTTAAGATCTGGTTAGTAAGGTAGTAATGAGAGTTAAGATCTGGTTAGTAAGGTAGTAATGAGAGTTAAGATCTGGTTAGTAAGGTAGTAATGAGAGTTAAGATCTGGTTAGTAAGGTAGTAATGAGAGTTAAGATCTGGTTAGTAAGGTAGTAATGAGAGTTAAGATCTGGTTAGTAAGGTAGTAATGAGAGTTAAGATCTGGTTAGTAAGGTAGTAATGAGAGTTAAGATCTGGTTAGTAAGGTAGTAATGAGAGTTAAGATCTGGTTAGTAAGGTAGTAATGAGAGTTAAGATCTGGTTAGTAAGGTAGTAATGAGAGTTAAGATCTGGTTAGTAAGGTAGTAATGAGAGTTAAGATCTGGTTAGTAAGGTAGTAATGAGAGTTAAGATCTGGTTAGTAAGGTAGTAATGAGAGTTAAGATCTGGTTAGTAAGGTAGTAATGAGAGTTAAGATCTGGTTAGTAAGGTAGTAATGAGAGTTAAGATCTGGTTAGTAAGGTAGTAATGAGAGTTAAGATCTGGTTAGTAAGGTAGTAATGAGAGTTAAGATCTGGTTAGTAAGGTAGTAATGAGAGTTAAGATCTGGTTAGTAAGGTAGTAATGAGAGATCTGCGGGCAGTAATGATACATCTATGAGTACATAACTAAAACCTGAGTTCTATGAGCGAAATCTGAGAGCTAAAAGCCGAGAGATCTAAGGTAAGTAATGAGAGAAGAGAATTTGAAATTTTACAAAATACGTTTACTCATACAAAATAATTCGCATTCTTTTATAACGAATCTCAATGCCAATTAATACATAAAACAGATTTTAGCAATCAATTGCAAGATTTAGAAAGATTTTATTTATAATCTCAGCCAAATTAACAAATATTTTATTGATTTCGTAAAAATAGCAATAAAACATAAAAATATGACATTCTATTTTTCCAAAAAAATTTCAAAAATCATTTTTTAACATGAAATTTATATTTTTTAATTTTTTTTTTTAAATTTTGAATTTTTTTTTTGGAATTTTCAACCATGTCAAAAGTCGGGATCTACAAATGTATTCTCTTTGACATAGGATAAAAACATCCTTTCTTATAATTTCATTGTAAAATAAAATTTTCTTAAATTTATTGAATCCAAACTCAACTTTGCAACATTTTATTATCATAAAAACTAAGAAACATCAGGTAAACTTCAATTTGGAGAGCTTAAAATCATATCTAAATTGAAAAATAAGGGGAAAAAATTGTAAAAAAAATCTCATTAGATGGGGCAAAAAGTGACTTTTTTAATGTGTTTTTTAAAAAAATCGTGCCAGCTGGCCAAAAAAGGTGTGCCAGCCGGCATGCCAGTTTGTACAACCCTATAACATTGTTCCTAAATCTTAGCCGTTAAGGCTGTTCTGAAAATATTTTTTTTTTCGAAAAAATTCGAAAAAAAATTCTTAAAATTCAAAAATCCCTTAATTCCTGAGGATTTTGGAAAAAAGTTTTTACATGAACATGTGTATATTATATGAAGTATATTGATAAGGTAAAAATCAAATTTTATTGCATATTCATCGAGAAAATAAACTAACGAATCCCTCAAAATTGAGAGGGTAATCCTCCTCCTCTCAAATAAACGTACATACGGGTGCACCCTTAAATAATTATCAAATATTTTTGATGAGACAAAAGCAAGAGAAACATCGGAGGAACTGATGATATTAGGATTGTCTGAACATAAACTCAAGAATATTCCAAGAATATTGTAGATACGAGGTTCTTCTGACGATGATACGATAAATGGAATAAAAGAAGAGGCTGCTGTGTTGAGATAATCAGGATCTAGACTTAATACTCGCTTTATTGATAATATTAAGGTCTGGAGTTGTTGTGAATATAAGGTAATTAAGTCAATATTGTTATCTGTAACGAAATACTTGTCTAAATGAAGTCCGTTTGGAAATGTTGGGTTCGTATTGAATTTAAATATCAGTTTATGTGATGATTTGAACTCAAACCTCGCTGGTTCTTTGATAATTTTTGGTATCTCGAAGGCTTTCGTTGTTTGAACGATTCTGTTGATGCATGGACCAACTAGTTCTAAGTATCTAAGTAACCGTGGCTTTTCTATGTATGAATGATAATATTCGAAAAATCCAAAAATTGAATACGAAAAACAATGTGGATTTGAGATCAATATATCCATGAGAAATGAAAGTTGCTCCGATGTGAAGATGTCTGATGAGCTTTTATGAAGATCCAAAATAGCAAGTATAAAATTATCGAATAAACTCTTCTGAAACTCGGCAGAACCGGTAAGCATCGCTGCTATAACATTGACCTCGAGCATTTTTTCAGGAAAAATGGTTATATACGCGATTATGCTATTGAGAAAATTATAAATGCTGAATTTTTCTTGTTCATCGATAAGAATATGTACTGAAATTGCAAAACATGTTGAAGCGATTAACTGATACTCGCATTTAAAAGTTTTTTCAAGCAATTGAAGAATTATATCGATATTTTCAACAGCACCTTCTTTTTCGTATATCAATAGCCATGATAAATACGAATTGAATGCATAGGTGCTCAAAATATTCAATTCTTGACGCGTTTTCGTCTTTACTGAAATTAATTGTTCAAGAAAGTGCCGATTGCAAGGAAATGAGTAATTGAACTCATTTAGAACATCAAATGATTGAACACCAGCATAGATTTTGTTTGTAATTTTGGTAATATCAGATTTCTCATACAGAGGATTTCTGACTGCTGCAGCAATCTTATCAAAAGCCTTTTCTATTGGTGGTATTTTTTCGGGCAGTGATATACCAAGTGATAAGATGCTCCCGACGAGTGTCGCCGGGGTGCTCAATCGCATCCTGTTGACAGAAAAATTGAAAAGAGAAATATTTTCAGAGAATCAAATAGGAGAAATTCTTTCTCTTTATGTTTTATTAAATTTGGCTTTGTAAAATTTGTGTTCTCAATTTACAAAAATTTATAAGAAATATTCGTCATACGATAGATTTGAGAGAACACTCCCTTTGAACTATTGATTTAACAGTAGGAGAGTAGCTTAAAAACTCAAATTCCAAACTAATTGTATAATAACTTGCATTAATAATTTGATTTTCATTTAAATTTCATTCAAATCTTGATCAAAAACAAGCAATGGGAATGCAGTTTTACTTTAGTTTAATAGCCCTGATAAATTTATATCACTTAATACCTCTACATCTATCGAAACATGATAAATTTATAATTCTGAATGATAGTTATTTGAACTATCTTGAATTAACTAAGATATTAATACGTGTATACTACATGTAGATTGTTTCAGCTATCAGTTAAGTATTATCTTGTTATTTGATATCTCTGAAATAAAATTATGCCTGTGAATACTGGTACTCGTGAAATCCTGTTGACACAAGATAGTCATGTTGATTTGACTTGATTTTTTATGCAAAAAAGATATTTTATTTAATTCCAACATAAAATATGGCGCGTCATGCAAAATTAATGATAATTTTAATATTGTATTATATAGTTATTTGATTTATTCAATTTATTTAAGATTAATAGCAGCCTATCATAATTTTTCACCCAATTTCTCAAAATTTTGAATACCTCTCAAAACTTGTTTACTGAGGTATAATTGTTAATTCTTGTAGTAATCTAAGACTTCAACATTTAATCAAAAGTGACAATTTCTTTACAATGAAATCAACACCTTCTGATTTCAGTTCTGATTGGTCACTTCAAAGCGTACCGCAATGTATCTTCAATGATACGTTATTTGAAGTATTTGATGACAAAAATACACTAATTGGAGCTTTACAAAACGCAACATTAACTATCGAGCAAGCAAATTACGTATTTGATGAATCCAAGAAATACTATAGTATTGGTGACTGCTTTGACATCATCAGATCATGTGATGTCGACTTAGGAAATAAACCAGATCTAGTTTGCATGCTTTTGAACACATTATGCGATACATTACAATTTGATTTGTTCAAGAAAATCGGACATATCATACAAGACTTCGAAAACATGTTAATTGCATGCCATCCGAAATTATCACGAAAGAATTCGTTAAATCTCGCATCAATAATCGATAAAAGCAGACAGAATGCTGAAAATACCGAATATGCAAGAAATCCCTCGAAATTAAATAAACAAATTTCAAATTTACATAAACTCGGCTCAAGAACAGAAATTGATGAGAAAAACGCGTTCGTACTAATGGAAGACGAGGGTTCGATAAAGGTAGAACGAGTCAATCCTCCAAAATCAAATTCATCAGTGAAAACAACAGTTCAAAAGGGAAACCCATCGAATAGTGCTAATATAGATAAGCTAAGCAAGATAGAAATCAAGAATGGATATCGTACTTTCTATGATGTTTACGAAATTTTACAAAATGCTTACAAAGAAAACGATGAAAACGTGATTAACTACGCCATTGACAACAACTACACTAATATACTGAATGATGCCGAAGAAAACTTATTACATCAGATTGCAAGGCGTGGAGACACAGAATTTCTTAAGTACATGCACAAGAAAGGCATGGATATCACACTGTTCTTCATTGTTTCTGTGAAGCGAGTGTGGGACAAACTATCCAGTGTCACTTTTTTATTAACCTTATTTTAAAAAATTAATAAAATAATAATAAAAAATTATTTGAATCTTTTACATTAATTGTTTCTTTTTTAAAAGTACCTTTAAAGTACAATAAACAAGATTTGAATCTATTGATCCTTGTTGCAAACTTGAATATATTGCTTCAAGCATTTTTGAGAGTAGCCCATGCTAGCTTTTATCTCTTCTTGGATACCAAACTGGAGGAGCTCCATAGTGTTGAATATCACGGGCTCCATACAACAAATTGAATAAGGTATTTCAAAATTTGAAGGAATGGTCCATCATTGAATGTAGTGGCCGGGAATTGAATGACATACAGATAGTTTGAGGAAATTTGTTATAAATTATAATATAATTGAAGAATTAATTATCAAAACAAGTCTAAGAGCCATTTGTCAGATTTTCCCGAAATGCAAGGTTAAGATTTTAGCAGCGACTAACTTTGAGTGTACATATATAATTGTTATACTGAGTACTTTCTATCTGTGTTACTTATTTGAGTCTAAGAGCCATTTGTCAGATTTTCCCGAAATGCAAGGTTAAGATTTTAGCAGCGACTAACTTTGAGTGTACATATATAATTGTTATACTGAGTACTTTCTATCTGTGTTACTTATTTGAGTCTAAGAGCCATTTGTCAGATTTTCCCGAAATGCAAGGTTAAGATTTTAGCAGCGACTAACTTTGAGTGTACATATATAATTGTTATACTGAGTACTTTCTATCTGTGTTACTTATTTGAGTCTAAGAGCCATTTGTCAGATTTTCCCGAAATGCAAGGTTAAGATTTTAGCAGCGACTAACTTTGAGTGTACATATATAATTGTTATACTGAGTACTTTCTATCTGTGTTACTTATTTGAGTCTAAGAGTCATTTCTACCATAGAACTAGATATTGTCTCTCATTAAATATATATAACTGTAAACTGCTTAATTCATTTATCTATTTAGATAAAATTATATTTATATAAGATTTCATGTTATTATTTCATCTTTATTATTTTTTTTATTCCTTTGAAAAGTGACACTGGATAGTTTGTCCCTTTCTCCTGTGAAGCAAATATTGGAACTCCGATTGAAGGAATTAAGTACACAATGAAGTATATTGACATAAATGATAGCACGAACACACTCAAAAACACTCCTTTGCATATTGCTTCAGAAGAATCAAACATTGAAACTGTTGAATTTCTTCTTTCCCTTCCAAATGTAAGAAAGAAGAGCTGAACGAAGAGAGGAAGACACCTGCTGATCTTGCTGATGACGAAGAATGCCAGGAAGTGTTCGAAAATGCTGGTTTTGATTCTAGATATTGGTGATTTATTTTATTTTCAATAAAATGTTTCATTTTTCTTTGATTATCAATTTTCATGAATGGAATTTGCCTATTATCAAATTGAAAAGATTTAAGAGTTTGAAGAAATTTGATATTCTGTACAGATTAACTCGTTTTTTACCGGTGTCTTTAAAAAATTGAAAGTATACCTTTTTTGCTCATATATACCAAGTCTCAGATTTCATATATTATTCTCAAATAATAATTATATGAAATGAAATTTTTAAGTCATTGTCCGAGCCTTATATTTTGGGAAATATATTTATTTCATATGGGTGTATTATTTCTACTATTTAAATAGAAAAATAAATAACATAGGGACCTTATATCACGGTGGCAAAAAATGTCATCTCAATTCAAATTTGAAAAATTGGGCATCATTCCTTATTTTAACCAATTCTGCAGTTCCAAATGATATTTGGGAAGAATATTACGGATCACCAACTGTATGTCCTATAACAATAGCAAATAATTCAAATATCACTATTAACAAAAATTACTTTTTGCTTTCATCAAATTTCGAAGATTTTTCAGACAATATTATTAAATGTAGAACTGAATATATTAAATTTCTACATTCACTATGTACATTTACTAATATTTCAATAAAACCCAAAGAATATAGCGATCCTTATGAATATTGGAATCATGAACAGGAATATGGTGGTTGTATCTGCTTTTATTGTGATAATAGTGACCTTGTTCAAGACCGATTTTGTTCTATTAAATGCTATACACCAAATCAAGGAATACATTCCTTCACAGAAATGGGTGGGAATAACAAAAATTATGTCAACCTGAGTTCAATATATCAATGTGGACGCGATAACACTGGATCCGCCAGTATATGTCATAATGGTGGTGATAAATCCCTCATTTCTACGAACATTACGAATACAAAATGAAGATCTTCGGCATGTTATTCTGTTACATGGAATATAATTAATATTAACTATTGTTATTTTGTATCTAATGTTTGCAATAAATCAACCACTTGCATGTATCACATGAATGGATGGCAGAAGAATTCATATCTAAAACAATCAATAGTCAAAAACAACACTTGCATAATTTTTGCAAATGATTATGGTTTTCTTGCATCTACTTCAGCAGATCTGATTATTTCAGAATGTATTTTCTTAAATAACAGAGCATATTATATAGGGTGTCCAAAGGTGCGTTTAGCACAGCGCTCTATATGAGACTATTAAAGGAGATATATGCTGATTATAAATATATAATAAAAAATATGAATATATGTATATGATGAGTATGTTGTATTTTGGCGCCATGCCGGGATATAAAATGAATTTTGAGACAAGAGGCGGTTTCGCGGGAAATTTTGGCGGGATTTTTTTCATTTTTTTAATGAATCATAAAGAAAACATCCTCGCTCTTGCAAAAAAATGCAAAGACTGTAAAAAAATCTACGAGACATTGGTAAAATGCTTCGGTATGGATGCTCCTAGCTATTCCACTGTAACGTATCATGTTAGGATGTATCACCTCATGAACAAAAAGGCGCCCATCATAAAAATTGACAAAAAATCGCCGGATCAAAGAAAAATCAAAGCAATTCTTCAAGCGCTAGATGAAGACCCAAGAGCATCACTCAGAAGGATAGAGGAGATGACAAAGATACCACGTACAACAGTCAGTTATTATCTGCACAATTATTTGAACTACAAACTAGCGTATACACGTTGGGTTCCGCACAACCTTAATTCAGTTCAAAAAAAATCTAGAGTCCAATCTTCGAAAGAGCTCCTCTCTATATTGGGTGCGTATCAATCCAAGAAGTTTCGCTTTTTAGTAACAGGGGACGAGTCTTGGTTTCAATATGCAACAGAAGCCAAAATCATGTGGATCCGAAGGATGAAAATCCGCAAACATTCCCGAAGAAAAAAATTGACACACCAATGATGATGTTGTCGGTTTTTTGGGGCGTGAATGGCATCATCGCAATTGATATTCTTCAAAAACCTAATACGATGAATGCTCAGTATCTAATTGACAATGTTCTTACTCAAATTATCAATTCTGATGAGTTTGAGAAATCCAAACAACAAAAACAAAAGTTTGCAATTCATTTTGATAATTCAAGAGTTCACAAAAGTCATAAGGTAATGAATTACTTGGTGGAAAACAATGTCAAAGTTGTTCCAAAACCAATTTATTCACCTGATATTGCACCCTCTGACTTTTATTTATTCGGCACGCTAAAAAAGAGAGCTGAAGGACGCGAATTCGCGAGTCCAGATGATCTTGAAAATTTTGTAAGAGAGCAATTTGAGCAATTTTCTCATGATGATTTAAAGCGTGTCTTTCAAGCCTGGATCGATCGCTGCGAACGCATGATTGAATCCAATGGTGATTATATTTAAATAAACTTTATATATATGTAACTTGTTTATTTCTATTCGCAGTATTCAGGTTTGTGCTAAACACACCTTTGGACACCCTATACTTTTACAGCAAATTATCATGCTACTATTACAGTTATAGATTGTATTGTAGATCTTAAAACTGCAACCAGTAGTTCAGACGGTAGAGTTGATTTAGATCAAGTGGAAACAGAATTCTTTAAACTTGAATTATCACTAAGCAATTGTGAATCACATGAGAAATTTTCATATGAATGCATAGCAAATTCAAAGAAAACTGAGAAAATCACAGGTAAAGTGTTACGTCGATGATCTTTTTACTCATTAATCATCCGCTTATTGTTTGATCGCCAAGATTGTGACGCCATAGATCACTGACCCTAAAAAATTTTGAAAAGAATCTCCAAAGCTAGATAAAAATCATCTGTCCGGCATGATTAGATAGAAGCAAGATAATAAGCATTGTAAAGAATGTACTAATACATTCTATTCAATTTCATTTCTTATTTCAATAAAAAAAAAGATAATGTACAGTCTTGTAACCAAACTGAATTTTAGATGTGGAGAAGATTTTACTCCATACGAGACCCTTACATATGCACGTAACATATAGTCTTTAGTTATAGTTTTATGTCAAAATTTTTGTTATAGAAGGAAGTGGACTCATCTAAAATTTTGTATGTTTGTAAAATCTAATTTTTAGTAAAAATATTTTAAACGTTAATATTATATAATCATCGAATTTATTACAAATTGAGTAAAACGATTATTTCCGATAGAAAATTTTCATAATGAGTGAGCCCAAGCCAACTCTTTATGATATTATTGGGGTCCCTCCAACAGCAACACTTGAAGAAATCAAGAGGGCATACCGTAAAAGAGCAATGGAACTTCATCCCGACAGAAATCAAGATGATCCAGATGCAACCGCGAAGTTCCAGCAGCTTAGCGAAGCATACGAAATCTTAAAGGATCCAGCAATGAGAGAAAGGTATGATAAATTCGGATCTACGACTGATGAACCGACTAATCCAGATGATGCAGAAATGCTTGAGACAATCATGCAAATCATGGGTCTTGGAAGAAGCAGAGGCATGCCAAAAGGTGATAAAGTTTCGCCAAGCTATCGAATTCTCAAAATTCCATTATCGCGAGCTTACACAGGCGGTGTTGTCCATGAATCTTACAAGTTTAATACAGTTTGTCCAATTTGCCATGGTACTGGCTCCAATGATGGCAAAGAATACCCAATTTGTCCAACATGCAACGGAGCTGGTTCTCTTTCACCAGGAGGACTTCAATTCCTATTCCCTTGCGAAGCATGTGATAGCGTTGGCTACTTATGCCCACGCGAATGCCGCTGCTACAATTGCTTAGGAAGAAAATTAGTTCGTCAAAGAAAATCATTCGATGTAAAGATCGAAATAGGATGCGACGATCAAGATGATATTGTCATACCATCAGCCGGTGATGAATATCCTGGCAAAGAAACAGCAGATCTCCATTTAATCGTACAAATCAAACCAAGTTCCAACTGGGCACGCGATGGCGATGATCTTTACTATCTCAAGAATCTCTCGATTTACGAACAAAAGCACGGAACTGCTTTTACGATCCATCATTTGGATGGTCGCGAATTAGAAGTTTACACACAGCCAGAAGTACCACCAGATCTCTCTAGAATCAAATGGATTCCTAATGAAGGTATGCCATGCCGCGGAAACGTTCAATTTAAAGGTAATTTGTACATTTACTTCGAAAAAGGATTCCCAGAGCCAATTCATGAAGGAATCAGAACTTTGAAGCATTTCTTCAACGTAAAATTTGGTTCAAAGATATTTTTACAAGATGCTCCTGATGAGAAACAGAAAGAATACCAAGAACACTTGCAAAGGCTACAGGAAGAAAGAGAAGAAGCAATGAGACAAGCAAAAGAAGCTTGGGATCAGTTGGTTCACGGAAATAAACAAAATCCTGATCAAAAACCTGATGATAATAACCAGGGTCAACAACCACAACAAACTATTCAATAAAAATATGTTTTAATTTATATTCTTTTTAAAAAATAAAATAATAAAATTTTTTTTTTGTTTTTGAAACATTTTATTGGTTTTATGATATTTTGTCCCATAAATTGTATGTCAAGCCCATGCCATAAAGGTAGTTCCACAAAATTATTACAATTCTTTCTTGATTTCGGAAATGGATTGAGACCATATGAATATATGATAAAAACACATATTTTATGGAATTACACTTCATGCCATGCTATTTTGAACTTTAATTAATTTTTTCAATTTAAAATTAATGATTTTTTTTAAAAGTTTCATCAGCAGCGTTGATGATTCTTGGATAAATTTATCATATTGATCATTCTAAATGCTTTTCGGGAATAAAAACTCACAAGTCAAAAAAAAAATCTGAGAAGAGAATCTTGGAAAATAATGATATCTTTCTCTTTTTTTATAAAAGAAATCAGATATGTCAGAAAAGTGACATGAAGTCAATTCGGACTCAATTCTTTTTAGTTGAACTTCAATGCTGTTGATTTTAGGCTTACTGGCCTACTACGGAATTGCCATATTTATATTTAATTTAGGCCGGTTAAGTGATCAATTAGAAAACAGAGAAGATCTTCAAGAAATTTCACAAAAATTTTTTATTAGCAGCGGCAATATTATTATATGCGTTACATGGTTTATTTCCTTCTTTTTCATAGATCCATTCAGAGATGTTCTTCAAAAATATACATTAAATACTTATAATTTTTATATCTTACAATTTATTGCAAATTTTTGCGGATTTATTGTCCAACCTTCTTACTCATATAATGTAAATGAAATAAGAAAAACCATATATGAAAAATATCTATTTATTGAAACAATTGTATTTGTAACAATTTTAACATTAATAATAGCATTTTTTAAGAACATTTACGAAACTGTTGGCCCAGTTTATGAAGATATATTCATCAAAATACTTGGAGAAGGCAAAAATCTTGCTGTTTATAAAAGAATTATTATTTCATATTTTAAAAGGTATACTTTAACATGTTTTGTACCTTCAATTGTATTTACATGTTTATTTTATACTATGTGCCAAAGAGAATTCAAAATTAGATTTACAAAAATTAAAATTAAATTACAATTTCATTATTTACAACTTATTTACTTGATTTCTACATTTTACTTATTTTCTATTGTTTATACCCCATTGCCAGAAGTAAATAGTCATAATTCAGTGTTTTCACAGAGTGCTGTTATTCCGAATTCCCAAAATTTAGAATTTCCTGCGAAAAAGAAAAATATTATCGTTATATGTCTTGAATCAATGGATTCGATGTATTATTCCAAGAAAAATGGTGGTGGTATGGGTTATTCTGTAATCCCTTATCTGGAAAAACTTGCAATGGATAAAAATAATATTCATTTTTCAAATAAAAAATCTCCAATTATTGGAGGAATTCAAACGACAGAAAGAACATCTTTTACGACAGGAAGTGTATTTGGAGCTATGTGTGGTGTTCCATACTTAGGTATAAACCAAGAAGACCAACAATCAGAAGAATTTTTTAATAATTTATCTTGTATTAGCGAATTATTGATGGATCAGAATTATATTACATCAGCAACATTTGGTAGTTCTATGTATGAATGGGGATATGGACGTATCTTTGAGACGCATCATTTTCAAAGAATTACATCATTAAGAGATATGAAGAAAGGAGTAGAAGGAGGAGAATATATTCCAGATCATATAACATGGGAATTTTTTATCAATGAACTTAATGATCTTTCGAAAAAAGATAATCCATTCTTTGCATTTATGTCCACTATTGATACACATGAACCTGGATTTTCATGCAAGCTATGTGAAAAAACAAAGATTAAACCTGATATGGTAAAAGCTGCTAATTGCGCAGATAAACAATTGAAAAAATTCATGGAATGGGCAAAGAAGCAAGAATGGTACCAAAATACTGTAATTATTATATATGGAGATCATGTATCAAGAGATTGGTATTTGAATCAAATTGCAAACTCGAGAGGATGTCGTAAAAGATCAGTTTACAATGTTATAATTAACTCAGAAGTAAAATCAGGGAAACATGATGAGAGAACATTTACACATTATGATATGATGCCAACTGTTCTTGCAGCAGCTGGAGTAAAGATTAAAGGTGATAGATTAGGCATTGGTGTAAATTTATTCTCAAGTCTTGAAACAAACTATGAAAAGTATGGAAAGAGATTTACAGATAGCTTTAGCGAATCAGTTCATTGGTATGGTACTGAAATTCTTCAAAGGCCAGCTATTTGTGATGGATTTAATCCTTGCATAAATCTTGACAAATTAGAATTATATACAAATATTAGTCAAGAAATTGTTTGAATTAATCAATTGTTTTTATAATAAAGTGTTGTGTATAGATTTTTATTTAGACCAAGATGGAAATGTTCCGTCCATTCATAACTAGTCTTGTAATTTGCATGTGGAAAATCGTTGATGCTAATGACCAAAAATAGTTTTAATTGAGTTGCTTTCTTACAATCATCATAATTAGCTTGATGCCTAAAGTTAAAATTCAATGGTGTTTCAAGCCAGTTGTAAGAAATTCTAATTGAAGTCAGAGGAGCATGATGGCAACTTTAATAGAGCTTAATTCAATTTCAATAAAAGTGCAACAACTATTCGGTATAATTTAGTGATTATGTACCAGATATATTAACTTTTTACTTTAGAAAAATAAAAGTAAACATTGAATGTCAAAAAAAATTGAGAATAAGTCAGAAAGACTTATTATAAAATGGGGTATTATTATTGTCGTCTGGCGGTTTTAGACGACAATGCGAATTTTCAAATAATAGGATTTTTAGCCAGATAAAGAGCTACTCCATATATCATGCGTGTTTGCATACTATATACATAGATGGAATTGATGTTCTTCCTTTATTTAGGTACCGAAACATGCTTGAAAAATCTATTTTTTAGACGACAATAATAATTTTGTCACTTTTCCAGACGACAATAATAATTTGTCACCTTTTTAGACGACAATAATAATTTTGTCACTTTTCCCAGACGACAATAAAACATCCTCTTATAAAATCATATATCTTTATTGTAATATCAAAAAAGTATAACAGACATATTATGCGTTGTATACTGATTTATACTAACTTCTTCCGGACCAAAAATATTATCTTTTTACCTTAGAAAATTGTAATAAAAAAACTTGTATGTCAAAAAAAAATTGAGAGAATGTCAGAAAGTTGTAATTGGAAGACAAAAAACTATTAAAAAATTATTAAATTAAACATATAGGTAATAAATATTTATATAGTGATGAACTATAGATATTTACGGTGGAACCTTTGACTTCATGTAAGTTTGCTCTGAAACAAAAGTGAAAATTGCAGAAAACACGATGAACAAAGAGATGAAGAACGCGTTCCAACTTGTGACCATTTCCTTCTCTTTCGTTGTCAACTGATCGTTTGTCATGATCAAGTGGAATGAGTTGACATAAGAGCATCCACCGAACAAACCAACACAGATCATGAAAATGATCATCATCCACAGTTTCATCCAGTAGAAATATGGTTGTGTGGCCCAAACAGCGAAAAACACTGCTTGGCCAAGTGTCAACAATCCAACCCATGGGAACTTGAATAATGCCAAGGAAGAACGAGAAATGAAAACGCCAATCTGGTACATCAAGTTCAGTAAAGCGTAGAGATATGTCTTTGGTGTAGATTTCGGATTCTGTGAACAGTGTACGTATAAACTTTGAATTACGTACTCCAAGAAGTAGACAGCGCCGCAGTTGAACATAAACCACCATACTGGTTTGAGTATCTTGAAGTTGAAGCAGCTTACGGATTCATTACGTCTTTTTTCTTCTTCTGAATTGATAAGATTGTTATTTAGAAGGGCTTCTTGATTAATTGTCTCTTCTGGGGAGCGTCTAATAATGCCAAAGAAGCAGTATATGTATATAAAAACTATAGGAGTAACAGCGATAAACGACCACATGTAATTAAAAGAAATTGAAGCACAAAGGAGAGAATAGCCTGCACCGAGGATGCCTGCCATACCTGTGCCTGAACTCCATGATGTAAGTAAATTCTGTTTCTTTCTGATTGTAATGTAGCAAAGTAAAACTGATTCGCCGAACGATGATGAAAAACCAAATAGGAAGACGCATATAAGTGATAACCATAAAACCTTTGAAAATGCGCAGCCAAGCAAGCCAGCAAGCATAGCTGCTGCGTTGATTGAAAAGTTAACTTCATAAGGAACGTTTATTGATGCTAGCCATGTATTGATAAAACGTGCAAAAAGTCCACTCAAGGTGTTTGCTGCCAATGAAAGGCCTAAATATGTTGGTTCCTTATACTGACCAACAATTCTGTTTGCACTGGCAATACCAATGACATAGGGAAGGTTGTTAATGGATCCTAAGAGGAACATAGCAACTTTATCCCGCTTACGAACATTCAGACCGTAAGTTTGAGGATTTTCAGGCATAGTAAAATTAGTTACTTTTTGTGGTTCACAATTTTGATAGGATCTTTACCTGATAGGGTTAAAGATGTGGTTTATTAAATCATAAAAAGGATGTTTTCCTGGATAAATTCTTTGAAAAATATTTTTCTGAGAAGCATTCAAAAATATATAAGCGATTTTTAATGTGAAAAAATGGTATTATTCTTATTGAAGAAATTCTCGATAACATTTTCGCAAAATGAATGATTTACAAAATACGTTCCATTATAATGCGATGATTTGACCAAATAAAACGTATCGTTGATGAGAATATTAACATTACGAAGAGCAAAATAAGCCATAATAATTAAACGTAAATAACTCATTCTAAGTAAATACAGCTAAAATTCTTTTAAAATAGCATAACTTCTGAACAAAAAAATATCAAATTCTTATGGAAAAGCATAGAATAATAAAAATCAAAGAGATATCGCAATAATGCATTATTGACATGATTTTTATCACTAACAAATGGGATAATTCCTAAGATAAAATTTATCAAAAAATAACAAAAATCTAAAAATTGACTTTCAAAATATGATATTTCATAATATTTTTTATTAATCAAAAGTTTCAAAATCGAGTATTTTATTTTAAAATAATAGTATGAACGAAATCTTGAGTGTTTACTCGAATATATATCCATTTTACAGAAAATAATTATGATAAAATTTATTTTCTACTCAGCCGGACATAATGTTAACGTAAATATCAAAGTACATCTAAATACATATCACAGAATAGATGTAAAACTATAGGATTTCAATAATTTTTTTTAGGATAACATGGAATCAATAGGTAAACAAGCTTTATTGGACAAACTCTATACAGAAAATTGTCTTTTATTCTGATAAACTTAATTGCAATAGAATATTTTTTTATTCACATTCAAAAAAGCAGTAATGGAGTTTTGACATATATAATATCTTTTTCTGTATAAAATCACAAAAGTTTTTGAACTGATTGGTCTTCTTTTTGAGATATTTAAGTACAATATCTCAAATGAGCATTTTAGATGAGCAGTAAGCTGATATATGTTTTACATATGGAAATAGTATTCTTTTTTTCTATCTATTGATCACTAATAAACAAAAATATGAATGTTCAATTTTGAATTTTCCATATAACGTGAATGAATTATGAAATAGGAACGTTATTAGTTAACAAACCTTCTCCTAATTATTATATTGCATCGAAATTGCTCGAACTCTGATATGCTTGAATAATTTCAATCGACTCAATAAATAAAAAACTGGGCTTTACAAAATTGACATGAAACAGGCGGTTATTATTTTATCTGAAGAAATTTTTAGTTAATATGATTCACCGTTAATATTCCTGCTACCTTGGCATTTGGTTACAACCATTCAATTTTAGCGATAAAAATAATCTATGCATTCAAATTTCCATAAAACTGTAGAACTCGGACACAATGCGCATCCACTTGAATATCTGGTCTTATTGAATATTTTTTAAAAACTGCGAATTTTGAGAAATTTATGCGGATTTTTATGACAATATTTTTTGCATTGAATTTATTTCATTCAGTAAAATAAGAATGATAATATAAAATCAATACTCTATAGTGTTTGTTATTCAATATTGATCGACTTTTTCGTTCCTAAAATATACGAGAAAGGGACAGACTAGCCCATTGTCACTTTTCAATTTAGCAAATGAACGCTTATGGAGTGGAGTTTTTGGGTAAATCTGATTTGCTTATAAATGAAATAAAATCAAAAGAAACCATATTGGCATTATATTATGCAAAAATAAATGATCTTACTTAGTACTTTTAAAGTTAATTTCAGAAAAAATTTGACACAATGGTATCCGGCACATACAAGTGGTGTACAACCAAAATATAAGTTGGTTTAAACATATATTGCTATATCTCATGGTCTTACTTAGTACTTTTAAAGTTAATTTCAGAAAAAATTTGACACAATGGTATCCGGCACATACAAGTGGTGTACAACCAAAATATAAGTTGGTTTAAACATATATTGCTATATCTCATGATCTTACTTAGTACTTTTAAAGTTAATTTCAGAAAAAATTTGACACAATGGTATCCGGCACATACAAGTGGTGTACAACCAAAATATAAGTTAGTTTAAACATATATTGCTATATCTCATGATCTTACTTAGTACTTTTAAAGTTAATTTCAGAAAAAATTTGACACAATGGTATCCGGCACATACAAGTGGTGTACAACCAAAATATAAGTTAGTTTAAACATATATTGCTATATCTCATGATCTTACTTAGTACTTTTAAAGTTAATTTCAGAAAAAATTTGACACAATGGTATCCGGCACATACAAGTGGTGTACAACCAAAATTTCATATCCCTAGTTTTACATTTATGTTTAGTTTTATTTCACCTAATTTTCAAAGATCATAATTGAATTAGATGGCCAAGCTATTCAAAACACGACCAAGCTTATCAAAATAAGACCAATATATTCAAAATTCTTTATTCTTTCAAATCATTTCATTTTAATGCAGTTCCAAGATCACGAACTCACATATATCGAGTTGCTTAAGTATGGAGTGCAACAAGAAATCCAAGCAGGTTGTAGTTATTCATATAAAACTAGGAAAGAAAGAAATCAAATCCAATTTAATTGTAAGTGGCCGAATTGTCCATGTCGCTTCCTTGTTGATACACTTCCCGATGACAAGTACCATATACGAAAATGTATTAACACCCACAATCATTCTGCCCCTTTTCCAAACAAATCACAACAAATTACATCATATTTTTATAGATCTTATTTAACAAGATATTTTGAATCAAATCAAGACCGTGTTTACGCACAATTAAGGTGTTTCAAAGATCTTAATATCCCATTTGATAGTGGGATCATTCCGGAAATGTTTCAACAATCTACAGATGCTTTAAAAAAGTTTTCTAAACGCCTTCAAGCAATCAATACCCGTTTCTCAGCGGATGATGTTACATCTCTTGCAATTTTTGTCGACATGGTTAAGAGTCATTCTCCAGATGATCTCATCGAGTTTATTCACGAGCCAGATCGTATGATTTTCTATTACGCCCCATTCGAAGCAAATGCTTTTTCACATCAAATACAAACTTATCACATTGATTCCACTTATAAGCTCTTGCGCTCTCGCATACCATTTTATGCCGTCACTGGCAAATTCGCGGAATCAATTGTTTTTCCGTTTTTGTATTTTTTCGTTTGGCCCGACACAAGTGAAAATATACAAGTTTGTCTCACAGCATATTTTGGCTCCATCAATCGCGAACCATCTTATTTTTCAATGGACTGCGCACCTCAAGTTAGTATACATATCATGTGTACTGAGGCACTGCGTTCCTCCGTACGCAATACTTGTGAATTTGACACTTTACAAAACCGTTAACGTATATTTTACAACACGAACACAAACACCAACTTAACCTTAAATATTTATAAAGCCGCCAACCACTTCACCTTACTACTGTAAAAATAAACGTTCTCACTTACAAAAGTATTGCAACTCTTCCCATTGCTGTGCTTCACACAATAGTTCATATTCTTCAGTATCGCTGCTGTCGCTCCAATCGTCAGAGTCAAAATCACTGTCAAAATAAATGTTAGTAAGTTTTGACAAAGCTAATGAAACACGTTTACCGTTTGTATCGTATGCTTGTATAAACTTTCCATTCTTCATTCCTTCATAAACGCTCAAACTAACTTTACCCTTTCTCCCTCGTATCTGATAGAATGTATTTTCACGAGGAACGAAGAACAAATTCTTGAACTCATGACCGTTGTAGTTTGTTATCTCAATAGTTTTCGTCATTTATGTAAAAATAAAAATAAAAAATAAACTTAAAAATTAATGATATCACCACCCTCACACGTATGAAAACATAGCACAAAAATAAATTTAGGTGAAGTGGTGAGATCTCACCTCTTTTTTCACCTGTTTTTTCACCCGTTGAATTCATTGCTTTATAACTCTTCTAACTTCTTCTTAAGTTCAGCAATGTTGTCCTCATGAAGTTTAATCTTCCTTAATATACCTTCTCTATCTAATGGTTGCTTTATCTTTCTAAACTGAACTCTACCATCCTTCATAGTATGAACGTAAAAACCTTCTGGAACCGCTCCTGATTTAATGTATTCTACCAAAAATTTTTGTTTCATTGCTTCAGTGACTTTAGTCGTCATTTTACTCTAAATAAAATGTTCAAATAAAATAAAACTAACATTATTTTTTCAGTAAGGAAACGCAGGAGTTTTACGATTTATTTGAGGAGTAGGTTCTGGTTTAAATGTTGGAGTCGGTTTTGGAGTTGACTTTTGAACAGGAGTTTGTACTTTCATAGGTTCAGGAGTCATTGAAGGTGTTGTTTGTGAAGGCGTTGGTTTTGACGTTGGTTTTGGCGATGGTGTCGGAGTTTGTTCAAATTCAGCTACTTCAGTATTATTTATAACATTTGCTTTATTTCTTTTCAACATCATTACTGCTCCTGCTGTAGCTAGCAAACCTAGTGGGAGACCATATTTTATATAAGGACTTGACCAAATGCTATTTTTGACAGGAGCTGGTGGAACACCTAACCTTGGTGAGACTGCTCTTTGCCATTGTGCAGCTCGTAAGAAATATTCAATAGGTGCTCCATAATCGTTTGGTAAAGTTTGTTTCATAGATGGTGAAGGTTCACGAGAGCTTGATAGAACTCATTTATAAGCTTTAAAAATAAACGTTCATCCTTTATTCCTCACTGTCGTCCGTGGCTAAGTTATAGTCGTCAAGTCTTATTATTGGTATGCCTGACTGTCTTACTTGTATTGCAAAGCAACAATCCCTCATAAATCCAATAAGTGGCTTTGGTACGTTTTCAGTTGCTAGTTCAATAGGTCCTTTAACAGACAATTTGTATGTTATTGGAGCAGTAGATGTTTGACCTTGCTGGAAGCAAAAGTCCACTTCTGTTGGAAAACCACATAAGAAATGTG